AAAGGAGGAAAATCAACCCCGGGGTCGTCCATCAGCCCCGTGTGTGTGTGTTTCAGGGCCAGCACCACCCTTGCAAAGGGATGAACCTTGGCCATGCCAACCCCAAAGGCGAGGGGGGAAGTCGGGGGAGATGGGAGCGGGGTCCCGGTGGCCGGTGCATCCCCCCACCCCAGAAAAGGGAAGCGGCGCCCAGCCCGGGCTGCAGCTGGTTTCCAGTAATGCGGGGCCCGGGCCCGGCCGCCCATGATAGAAAATGGTCACCCTGTGCCTTGGACCATGGCGGTGCAGGTTATGGAGATTTTTCTGTAGAGGAAAATGAGCAAATAACCGTGATTCCACGTGCGGCCCCAGCGCTCGCCCTCCTTGCTCTTCCTTGAGCCCCTTTGAGCTCTGCAGGGAGCGTTAAAAAAACAAAACCCCTGAGATGTGCAGGAGTTTTACAAATTTATTACCCAAAGACTGGAGTAGTGGTCATCACGGCTGAAGCACAAGCACTTTGCTTTTGAGGAAATTTCCCCTTCTTTCCAGGAACTTCTCCCTACTGCTTACTAGGAACTCCTGCGTGGTTTTCCAGGAAATTTCTCCCTTCCTTCCTAAGAAATCCCACTATTGCTTTGCAGGAAGTTCCTCCATTGCTTTCTAGGAAATTTCCCTGTTGCTTTGCAGGGTATTTCCCTCCTATTGCTTTCCAGGAAATTCCTCCCTTGCTTCCTGGAAAATTTCCGTGTTGCCTTCTAGACTCCTCCATTGCTTTCTAGGAATTTTCTCTCTGGTTTACAGGTTTCTATTGCTTTCTTGGAAATCTCACCATGACTATTGCTCCCTGGGAAGCCAGAAATTATTTCCCGAGAAATTTCATTCTCCCTGTCCAGGAAATTTCCCTTTTGATTTCCAGCAATTCCTCCTTTGCTTTCTGGGAAATTTCCCCTCTAGGAAATATCACTGTTGCATTCTTAAGAAATGTCACTTCTGCTTTTCAGGGATTTCCCTGGTATTTGAGGAAATTTCCTCCTTGCTTTCTGGGAATTTTCCTCCTTTGCTTTCTAGGCTATCCCCTCTATGGCCTTTTAAGAAGTTCCCCCATTGCTTTCCACAAACTTCCAGAATATTTCCCCCTTTGCTTTTGAGGAATTCCCCCTAGTGCTCTCTAGGAAATTCCTACATTGTCTTGCAATACATTTCCCCTTCCTTTTCCAGGATATTTTACTGCAGCTTTCTAGGATGGTTTCCCTTTGCTTTCCAGGAATTCCCCTATTGTTTTCCAGGAAATTTCCCTTTTGCTTTGTAGGAATTTTCCCCCAGGGCTTTAGTACATTTCCTCACTGCGTTCCAGGAAATTTCACCAGCTAAACCCGACCCACGCGCCTGAACCCACGACAGGGGAGTATGGCACCTCCGCCAAAACATATTTAAGGGCAGTAACCACCACAAAACCCAAACAAACTGGAGCCGCAAGAGCCATGGTCAAGGCAGGAACAAGGGACGGGGGTGACATGGGACAAGGTACGACTGAAAAGGGCCCGGGGTCGGTGGAGGACCCTCTGCAGAGGGACCAGGTAGGACGCACAAGGAGTCAAGCCCACGCTGGCTGTTGTCCCCTGCCCTGGGGCTGAGTGGCACCTGCAGGGAGGGGAGCAGAGGTGTGTTTCTCTAAGTGTAATTATTTACTTTTATTCCGCAATAGGGCAAACAACGCTTAGAGGTTTCTGTCAATCCGTGATTAATTAAGTTGATGGGAGTTCTCCCATTTTAAACTCTTAAATTTTTGGCCAGCAGCACCCTGCCTGCCTGGGGGGCTCCCGCGGGGAGCATCACGACCCCCTGCCACCTCCCGACGCCCTCCTGACTCAGGGACACATCCAAGCAGCTAAAAATCAGCCCCATTCAGCTCACCAGCTCCAACGTGGTGGAAGAAGAGCTGGAGATTTCGGGAGGAAGAGTCAGTTTTACAAAGAGGTTTTTAAAAGCGTCCCAAAGGACAAGGAGAGCTTTCCCTGAACTTCAGCCCTTCACTGCACCAAATTTTCCTCCAAACATTAAGCCCACGATACAAATCTGCACCCAACACACCCCCCTGCAGCTGCAAGTCACCCAGGCTCGGGGGCAATCCTTGCAGGCAGAAGGGCAAGCAGAAACCCCACTATTTTTATCGGCAAGGTTTCTTTTGGGGACCCTCCTTGTAAATCACAAAGCAGCAAGGAATAGGGCGCCTTAAAAAAAAAAAAAAAAAAAAAAAACAACTTTCTTTTTTAATCCACCCAAGGGAAATCCAGAGCAAGAGCAGCATCACAGCACTACACACAGCACAGACATCTATCATCATCTTTGCACAGATTCCTTCCCAGATACACGGAAAAGTCATTAAGAAAAAAAGAAAAAAAATTATTCACATATGCAAAGTGACAAGTAACAAATCAGCCACAGAACAACTTTTTCGAAGAGAAGAAGGATGCATCAAGGAAGAAGGCCCTCAACAAACAGGTTTTGCAAAAAACTAACCCAAAAAGGTTGAAACAGAGGTGGGTTTCTTTTAAACATTAAAAACAGGGATTTTTTTTGTTTTTTAAATTAATTTAAATATACACTTGAAACACAAACACCAAGCAAGCGCCTGGAGAACAAAGCAAAAAGAAGGAATGAAAAGTGAATTCGACCAGTTTAATTTAAACACCGAAGTCAGGTGGATTGCACCAAATGGAATAAATAATGGAGAAGATCACGCTGGGTTGATAGATCTCGCACTTAAGATCACTTAAACTAGAATTAATAACACAGCCCAAGAGAGTACTGAACGAGGAAGTCCTCTGCCAAGTGATGTCAGCTGGGGCAGCATCCCTTTGACAGAGCGGGTTGTAGGTGTGGATTTGCCCCCTGCCACCCAACAACGATCACCACCCCAGAAGCGAGCGGGACGACAAGTTTTCGTGACCCAAAGGACTCGACTCCGTAATCACGTACACGCAACCAGCTCCTCGCCTGCTGTGCGGGCACCCTCCGCCTCTTCGACACCGGCTGGCTCCAAACACGCACAAGTCAAACATTAAAGCACAACTACATCATGTGCTTTCACCTTGCAAGGTGAGCACGCAGGCGTCCACCGGCTAATCTACACCTGCGGCCACCACTTTGTCACCCCAGGGGTGGGCAGGCTGAAGGAATGTAAGTGGTTTCTTGTTGTTTGGTTTTCCCTCCCCACAACCCTTGCATTAAAAACAAACAAACAAACAAAAAACCCACAAAAAACAAAACAAACAAAAAACCACCCCAAAAAAACCCCGAACAAAAATAACTTGATCCCAAGTTCCTCTCCCTCCCCTGCCTGTAGCCAAGCAGTGAAGCACCTTCAGACATTCGTGTGATCCCACAGACATGTTCCCTACAGAGCAGATATCTCGCCTCTGCACCTCACCCGGATGTGCCTGTGACACCTAGTTAGGAGGGACATCCCTTTGCTTTAAAACAAAAATAATTACAAAATCAATAGTAACAATCCCCTTTCCCTTCCTCTGATCTCCAAGAAGTTCATCTAAGTCCAACTCGTTTTCAAGAAAGGGAGGGGTGAAGGTTTCCAGGCCAAGGAACTTGCCACATCCAGCATCCCCCTCGCCGTGCCTTGGCGGCGATGAGATGAGCCCCCTTTGCGCAGTGCCCGCTCTCGACCCGGGGCCAGCAGAGCCGAGGAGGGGCTCAGGGGACTCAGCTGCCCCTCCAGCTCCTCCTCAGATAGCTGGCAACTCCAGGAAGAAAGAGCGGGGGTGGACGAGGGTTCAGGTTATTTCTTTCCTATCCCTCTTCCTCCCCAAGGCTGGGAGGAGACTTCTGGGTCTGCAAGCCCAGTCTGTGCTTACCAGTGTCCTTAAGGATGACAATTTAAAAACAAAAAAAAAGGAAAGAAAAAAGATATGCATAATTAGGTATTGTCCGTGGAAGGAGCGGGAGGGGACAGGTTCCAGACCGAGACAGAAAAGGGACTCTCTCCCTCCCCGCGTTTGCTCGTCTGGAGACCAGGTCCCCTCGGCGTCCCCACGCGAACCCTTTGTGCTGTTGCTCTGACACCAATCGACACGGATGACGAACACGGGGATGAATTCGGCGCGGCAGAGGGCGGGAGGGCACACGCAGGTGCGCTGGGGCTAGGCCCGGTGCTTGGGGAGCATGTCCAGCAGGAACTCCGCAATGCCGATGAAGTAGACAACTTGTGCGATGCCGAAGAGAGGAGCAATGACCAGGGCTCGGCAGTACGCCCCTTTCAGGAAGGCCATGGGCCCTTCCTTCTGCCAGATCTTCCTGGGGAGAGATGGCACAGACAGGTAAGTGCCCATCCCACCCCTCCACCACGCCAGGAGAGCCTCTGGCCGTGCCCCGGCTTTCTGCCTCCCTCCAGAGCCTGCTGTCACCTGGCACTGCCTCCACGGCAGATCATCCACCATCCCCCACGTACGCTGCAAATGGCCAAGCAGGAACATGCCCCATCCCTACATCTGGCCGGGAGCAGGGGCGTCTACCTGGGTCTGGACATACAGCTAAGACAAGCCCATGCTTGCATCCAAGAGGTCCCCTGTTCAAAAGCTGGGGCCAACTCCACCCTCAGGATGGGACACAGCCAGATGGCGAGAGACTCTGGCTACAACAGCAATACAGAAGCAGAGCGCTTGTGTTTTGAAACTCCCTTCATGTTTTGAAGCGGCCAGACCACAGTTTAGCAAAGGGTCAGAGGAGAGTGCGGCTGGGGACAGCCCAGCCAGACAGCGCTCCTGCAGCCGCTCTTCAGAGCAGTCCCGGGAGGGATACGAGACTTAATGCTGTAGGATATTCAGACAACGGGGTCTTGGGAGAGACAACCACTGCATTGCCTCCCTTTGCAGAAATAAAATCTCAGTGTTATGACTGTTGGGGTTTTGACAGAAGCATTTAAATATAAATGCTATATTTAACTTGCTCAAAATAGGAAGAAGTTCTCTTTTATATACCTATATATATGAACAGTATATAGTATATATAGTATATAGTATGCATCTGGTCATATATCTATATATCTATCCATATAGATAGATAAATGCACAGGTTCAGAGGGAACCTGAAACAGAGAAGCTGCTGGTTGCGTCTAGAAGCTGCACTGACTGCCTGGCAGCAGGCAGCAGCAGATGCCGTGTATCTGATGGGGTGGCCTGCTTCACAGGGAGACTTACTTGGTGCAGTCCAGGATTCCTGAGTAGGTGTCCTCGTTCACTCCTCTCTGCAAGGACTGCAGCCGCGTTTTGATCACTGGGGAGAAAGAGAGAAGAGAGACAGTGGTGAGCACTGGGAATGTAGCACGCTCTTCAGCGGCAGGAGCCACCCTGAGAGTAATGTCTCTGAAACACAGTCAAAACGAGATCACCAAAACCACAGACCATTTTCATGTATTTATCAGCAAAACAGGGGAAAACAAACCCATTCCTTTACAAATGGATAAAAGAAAAACACAACCACCCAAAAACCAACCCCCTCCCCTCACTGTGACCAAGGTTTCCAAGGCTGACAAGCTTTAAATGCTTCCAAATTCAGATACCTTTCTGCAAAGTGGGAACTGATTTTCAAATACTCAGCTCCTTCTGGAAGAAGTGTCTAAAATATACAATGCTGCTCTTACATTTCTTCACACCTTGGAGCGTGTGCAATGTTGGGGAAAGAGGAGTTACTTTCTGGTGTTTTTCACAGCAGAGAAACTGAGGTGATATTTAAGGCAGATGCTGTGGAGCAGGAGAAAAGGCCACAGATCTGAGGCTCCCCCTGGTTGTCCATGACCGTATGCGTGTAAATGCTCTGCATGCTATTGCTCCACACGGAAACGTGCCTTTTCAGGGGCATTTTTGCAGTCGTTCCTGCGAAGAATGACTGAAATGAATGACACCATTTTCCTGACTTACCTAGCAAGTAAGTAAACTTGCAAACCTCTGTGTAAGCTGTGCAAACCTCTGCAAACCTTTGCAAAACTGCAAACCTCTGTGTAAGGCACCTCACCCGGAATAGCTCAGCTGAAGGAAACATCACCTGAGTTGGTGGCAGCTCAGACAGCAGAGCTCCCCTCCTGTACCTCTCTGTGCGCTTATGCTGCGAAGAGGCTGGCAGGGTCACCCTCCTCCTCACCTAGCCCACTCGTGGGCCTCTGACTCCTGCCACTTGGCGCCAGGCCACCAGCACAGGCTACTCGGGACTCACCATCGCAAGGGTTGACAGCCACCGCAGCCGTACTGCCAGCCACACACCCGGAGAGAAAGGACACATAGAATGGAGCCTTGACATTGGGGTCTTTCTGTCCCAGCTTGTTCAGGTTTGCAAACAGCGGGAAATAAACGATGGAGAATGGGACATCCCTGCGGTGGGGAGGGAGGAAGGGAAAGAAAGAAGAACAAGGATGAGCAAAGTCAGAGCAGGACACCAACAAACTGGGCATCAAGAAAGGGCATCATGCCTTGGCAGCACAGCCCTGAGTGCAATGCAGACATCCCAGCTCTGCAATTGCAACGCAGGCAGGAGCAGAAACTCAGCCAGGGCAAAACTGACTGCACAAAGGACACCAGGCGCATGGGAAGCATACAGCCCTGAAGAGTCAATACCACCCCCCGCCCCCGATTTTTCAACACTCAAACCGAAGACCCCAGCACATTCAGAGGTCAATCGTTTTGTCCACTCTTGTTAATTAACAGGGGTGCTGGTTGACAGCTGGCTGAACATGAGCCGGCAGTGTGCCCAGGTGGCCAAGAAGGCCAATGCCATCCTGGCCTGTATCAGAACTAGTGTGGCCAGCAGGAGCAGGGAGGTGATCGTGCCCCTGTACTCGGCCCTGGTGAGGCCGCACCTCGAATCCTGTGTTCAGTTTTAGGCCCCTCACTACAAGAAGGACATTGAGGTGCTGGAGCGTGTCCAGAGAAGGGCAACGAAGCTGGTGAAGGGTCTGGAGCACAAGTCTGATGAGGAGCGGCTGAGGGAACTGGGGCTGTTTAGCCTGGAGAAGAGGAGGCTGAGGGGAGACCTCATCGCGCTCTACAACTACCTGAAAGGAGGTTGTAGCGAGGTGGGGGTTGGTCTCTTCTCCCAAGTAACCAGCGATAGGACGAGAGGAAATGGCCTCAAGTTGCACCAGGGAAGGTTTAGACTGGACATTAGGAAAAATTTCTTTACTGAAAGAGTGGTCAGGCCTTGGAACAGGCTGCCCAGGGCAGTGGTGGAGTCACCATCCCTGGAGGTATTTAAAAGACGTGTAGATGAGGCGCTTAGGGACGTGGTTTAGTGGGCATGGTAGTGTTGGGTTGACAGTTGGACTTGATCTTAGAGGTCTTTTCCAACCTTAATGATTCTATGATTCCAAGAGGTTCGCATCCCGCCCCCCATCCCACCAGGCGTTGCTTTAGCTCTGCCTTTGTTAAAGCTAGAGGAGAGTCACTATGTGAAAGCCCAGGTGAATAGTGCCAGAGAGGGCACCGCTCCTTGCATCCAACAGCTCCATGGGCCAGAACCTATCTCACCCTGGAGACTGAGGCTGACAGTTTTGCTTTGCTAGCTCACAAGGACTTCTCAGCAGCGTTAAAATATGGACCATGGGGGAGACAAAAAAAACTTTCCACAGAAAGCAGCAGAATTAAATCTTCCAGGAAAAACAGGCAGACTCCCTTGCTTCCCTGACCTTCACAAATGTGCAAAACCTGTGCATGGAAACCAAACCAAATCAAATCCACACCCCCTGAAGCCAACACCCCCTTTGCAGGCTTATTGCCTGGATGGCTGATGCTTTATGTTCAAGACTGGGAACACCAGTGCCCTGCGCTCGAGCCCACGCCATCCTACCTTAGCAGTGTGGCTCCCAGGCCCTTGTAGAGTCCCGCAATGCCTTTGCTCCGCAGCAGCTCTCTTGTTATCTGCATTGCTGTGGTGCGTGTTTCCACTGCTGGCTTTGCCGCCGCCCCCACCGCAGAGGAAGAGGAGAGCTGGGCCTGCGCTGCCATCAGCTTCTTCTGTGCCGCTGGGGAGGAGCAGAGAGAGCACTGGTTTGCAAGATGCTCAACAGCAGTCTCTTGCTGCCCAGTGCCACGGGACAAGGAGGAAAAGGCAGATCTCCAGGTGCACCAAAACATGCAGACGAAGGCCAGCCAGGTGCCCCGCAAGCTTTTGCTGCCTGTCTGCCCATCTCCCTCAACCTGAGGCAACCCAGCTTGTCCCAGTCTCAGAGCTGGCTGCTGCCACACCACAACGCTGGCTGCTGCACTCTCCTACCAACTGGTTTTACCTAAGCAGGAGTCGTCCATCACACGTGACCTCTGTGGTGCAGAGCAAAGGAGCTGCCGTGAGCAGGCAGATGATGGTACCTGCTTCCAGCTACGTCCCCGAGCCCCCGTTGGACAAACAAAAGATATTAATGAATGAGGGGGGTTCAACATTTCTGTTCTTTACTTCCTTCCCTTGAAAGCAATCATTAACCTGGGGAGTTCCTCCGCTGCACTAGGCACGCCACATTTATACACGCAGCCTTTTCAAACTGATGCATTTCTGCTCTTTGGCCAGAAGATGGAGAGCATATCAACCTGCAGGCTGCCACCAGCACACCATAGGTCTCTTGCCACACAGAGAACAGGCTGTTCACAGCAGTGAAAACCTCTTCTGAACCCTCAAACCATGGCTTAATTCCTTCAAACATTTTAAAATAATACGCACAAAGAGGATAAGGTCTGCATTAAAAACAGCGAAGAGAGGAAAGAAAGTAAATTTGTGATTATTCAGGATTGCCACATCAAAGGAGAGATTAAAGGACAAATTGGCCCATTTTCCAGGAAGGGCCACAAACGTGGTATCTAACGGTCTCATGCAGGGCTCCTGGGGAATGAGGCCGTACCTCAGGCTGACCTCTGGACGAGATTAATGCGATAGCCAATAGCTCTTTCACCCAGATCCTCTGTGCCAGACTCTGGTCTCCGTTCTCACCATAAACACCCCACAGTGTTTCAACCAAAAGGTTTGCACTCCCTCCTGCCTCTGCCTGCCAGCTCCTGCCCACAGCCCTGAGAGCCTGACCCCAAACCTCTTCCAAATCCAGTGCATCAGGAAAATTCTATTTACTGTTTCAGCCGAGACAACTGCTACTTTTGTCAGGAGGAAAAAAAGAGAGAGTAAGAGGGGAGACAAGACATTTGGAAAGGACACCTCCCCTTGGGAAGCTGTTAGGGAGGTGCTGCAGGGGGGTAGAAGAGAGAGAACAGACACCAGAAAACACAGAGATGGAGGAAGCACCACAGGAAAAGCACTGGAGGATGCTAATCCCTTCTGGGGTGCACAGTAACTAACAAGTTTTAATCACTCACAGTCACCTCTCCTGTCTCTCTCCATCCACCACCAGCATTTGCTATTTCACTTGCCAAGCCTATCGCTTTGAGCAGAAAAAATCATCACCTTTTGTAAGTGCAATGGCCTCTGCAAAGCCAGGTGAGCAACGGATGGGGTGAAATGAGCTGGGAAGAAGAGCAGAAACTTCTGCTACAGCCTGAGATACCTCTGACTTGGGAGACCAGGGGAAGGAAAAGGGTTTTCTCTGCTCATTCCCTCCCCCTCTGCCTTGACAGCCCAGTCCCAGCTCTTCCCCCCGCCGGCTGCTCAGTGCACAGGGAAGAGAAGTCCACGTACCAATTCGCCCCGCATCCTGCAGCTGGATTTTGAGCATCTCCATGGGAGTGGTGACAATCACCTGGCAGGTACCTGCGCCACAGCCCGCCAGCATCTCCCTCAGCAGTGTCAGCTTTTTCCTGCTCAAAGAAAAGAAAAAAAGAGTTAGTCAGAGGAGGTGGCCTGCAGTAACAGCAGGGTAGCTGGGTGCAGGGGCTCGGGGCACACCTCTGACCCTGGGGGTTACAGGAGAGGCAGCCTGGAAGATGGGGGAACCTGCTAGGCTTGACAGTTCAGAATAGCCCAGCTTGGCATCTCTGCTGGCATCACCTGACCTGGAGGAAAAGACCCATTTTGGCCCCAGAAACAGAACATTCAGAAAAAGCCGCAAGCCCAGCCAGAACAGCCCCAGACGGGAGCACACAACCCTCTCCATCCCCAGACAGAAAGCTGCAGCTCTCTTCTAGCCCAGCGTTGCCCCCCATCAGAGCACAGCCTTCAGAAAGGGTATTGCTTCAGAAGGCAGCAGAGGACCTGAGCATTAAGGGGGATAAGCAGCTTTCCTTCTGCCAGCCTAGACATTTAAACACCGTCAACATCCACATAAACAAACAGAAACCACAGGGCAAAGAGCAAGGGGGGAAAATACTCGAGTTGCTGCTTTGGAGTTCTATAACAAAAGCAAAATAAATAAACAGCAAACATGAGAGTCAGGGAGGCAGCTCCCCTGTGGTTAGGAGCTTCTTCACCTCACCAGCCTTCCCAAACCTGAAAAAGTAGCCTTTGCACTAAACTGGTCCTGCCTGGGGGACAAGGGATAGGATGGACCCCCAGCACTGCAGCTTTGTGCATCCTCTGCACTAGAGAGCAGGGATTATCAGCGACATGTTCTTGCCTAACAAAATGCAGCATTTCATAGCTCCCTCTATCCCAAAGCCACGAAACAGCCCAGCTAAAACTAAAGAGAGGAACTCGGGATGCAAATGCTCAGAAAGCCTCAATTTTCAGAAACTGATGAGTTTTCACCCTGTAAAAAATCTCACCCCTTGGCACCAGAAAACACTGACTTGATTTAAAAAAAGAGTGTCTCTGACCTGCTCTTTTCTAAAAGAGGGAAAAAAAGCATATATAAATCACACAGCCAGAGGAAAACAGCCTCCTCTTTTCCCTGTTTTAAATGCAAGTACTATTTTTACTCCCCCCAGCCCTGCTCCTGCAGCAATACCTCATCTTAACCTACTCAAGGCGAGTCCCCACACTATGGCAAAAGCAGCCCCACAATGATATGCCCTACTCCCTTGCAAAACCAAGCCACACTCCCTTACCGGGGGTTTTATATGCATGCACACACAGCACAGCTGTGGCACTGCGGGCCAGCAAAGAAGTTTCGATGCCAATCCTATAGGAAAGGGAGGGGAGACGCACCGTAATCCTGCTGGCCCACCACGTCAGCCGTGGCAGCTTCTCCACCTCTCATCTTCTCCAGGGAGAATATCGGAGCAGGGGATTAGAGGCACAGAGCTACATCAGAGATTACCAGCAACTAAATATAGAGCTCTCCTGTGAGGCTGAAGGGAGGAACATTTCACTCCCCTTTCCAAATCCCCCTACAGATGAGAAGCTGCAAAACAATCCCTCCTGTGGAGTTACCCTCATGGGTGCTGAAGTGTGTGCAGCAAGCTTTCCTGGAGGTATGCAGGTATCAGGGTGTGCAAATCCAGGGGTCCCCCCTGGCACTGATACCTGGAGGTGGGCCAACTGGTGCCTCTCGGGCAGCCTGAAGCACACCACCAGTCTCTGCACGGCTCAATACAGTCAGCAGCAAGGCTGTACAAGCTCCAGCCCAGCCATAGGAGGAAGCAAACTACCCAAAGGAGCTGGCTGCCAGTCCCCCTCTTCAGCACAGCAGAGCATCTCCCGCTTTAGCAAGAGCCCTGGAGCATCCCTGGAGTAGATGTCTCCTGGTTTTCATCCATCACGACCGCTTTGATACCCAGTTCAAAAGATCAGGAAGATTTGCCCTACATGTTCATTTGTGGACCATTATCCCAGCCAACAAAAGCCAGCTTGGCTTGATTCAACTCCATGGAGCTATGCCAGCGTGACCCAGCAAAGGATTTATGTGTGTGGGTGTATTTTAGAGATGTCAAACAGGTACATCAAAAGCATCTAGAACAAGGGCTTTCAGCTTTTGTTTTGCATATCCTGGGAACTGGGGGGAGTCCAAGAAAAAAAATAGCCTAAGATAAGCAAATCTTTTGTCAGGAGATTTAAAATTTGCCATACAAGGGTCCAACTTCCTTTGCAAAACCTTACCAGTCTGCGCATAAAAGGAGTTTGAAAACAGGTTATCTCTAGATGACAAAGGTTTAAATATTTAAGGCACCACGGCCTTATCCTCAGTGGTTTAAAAACTGGCACATCTCAACTACCTTCAAAAGCTGCAACACCAAAAAGGATCTGGTCCTACAAACGCAGAAACCATCTTTTATCACAGCAAGAGGGTGTTAAATATAACATATACACAACAGCCCCAAGTTCTGCACTGGCAGAAATCAGTCGTTCCACTTTTTTAACTGACATGCAATTAAGTAGTGACAAATCAACAAATGTCAAACGGGAAGGGGAGAAGATTCATGCTCAATCTAAATTAGAGTTTCAAACTAGAGCTGAAAAATAAGAAAGTCAAAAAGCAGGGACTAGAGGTTTATGGAGGCCTTTTCAAGAGCAACGCATCGGTCCAAAGTTAGGATCTCTGAAAGCATTTGCATATTGATGTTGCATGGGAGCAGAGTAGGATGTTTTTCAAGTTTCTGAAAAATCTTCACCGTGTAGGAGTTGACTGTGCTTGGGGAGGGACCCAAACCAGCCATTCTGGAATAAGGATGACAAGATTTCCAAAGGCAGGACATCTTTGACCTAAGGAAACATCCATACAAAGCCATGTTTCTATTTGCTACCCAAGAGGTTACTGTCCCCAGCTTGGACATCACCTTCCTCACTATAAAATAACCTCTGCCTCTGGTCTGTCAACCCAACAGATTGTAGAAAGCTCCCCAAGAGTTTCAAACCAGAGAGAGTCAGCTGCTTTCAAACAATTTAAATAGTGGGTCTTTGATATGGATTAGGGGACCAACACACAGGAGTTGTCCTTCAAAGGAAGGGCAACCTGTCCGCCACAGCCACACGGGAACATGCACACAAACTGCCAGTCAGTCCCTTCAGCCCAACCCCTGATCTTCCAAGAGGGAACAACAAGCTATTGCAACCGCACTTCAGAAAAGCTGGAGCTATGATGCTGGGAAACATAAACACAAGCAAGTTCCCATTACAAGCTCCCTCCCACTCCTAGTGCCAGCTCAAAAATGCCTCGGACGAGCAAAACAAAGCACTGATGTGGGACAGATCCACCCTAATAAATGCTCAAAGTAATGCCACCAGATTAAATCTTGCTCTGGCAGACATTACTCTAGGTACGGTACAACCTACCTCTGGCTGCAGAAGCTCTGCGTTGCGTGTTTGGACTAAGTCAAGAGGAAGGTGATTCTGTGCCTGCACCCATTACATCAGGTTTGCCCTGGCGGGAGATCCCAAGTGTTTTGTTCCAATACGAATGCCTGTGGAAGTGAACAACAGGCAGGGCAACACGTCTGGGCACACTGAGCATGGACACAACCCGTGTTTTGTCCCAAGACATGCACCTGGAATGGAGACAAGGGCAATGCTCCTCTCATGGGTGTATTCTGTGATTAAACAGCCCATCTCTAGCTCTCTCTAGATTAACAGTTGAAAGTGCATTTACTTTCTGGCTGCCCTTTGATCACAGAATAGTTTGGGTTGGCAGGGAC